TATTTTATTTATTCATTTATTCATAATATAATAATCTATGTTTAAAGCACTGGTTAAGACATAACAATTGCATATTATCAGCCACTGGTTGAGAATGAAAGGCTCTTTTGTACTATTTAACCAAAGGTGTTGATGTTGACAATAATTGAACTCTGGTTACAATACATCAAGTTTTTATAATGTATTTTAACTTTTACTGTATTTTTTCTAAGACTTCTTGTTATTCTGTTATCAAAATTAGCATTATCTATAATTACAATAAGCAGAGTACTGTTTACAGCTGTTTAGTAATTTTATTAAATCAATCTGATACATTATATTACATAAATTATGATTATTGTTAAATTATGATTGTAATATAATTAAAATTCTCATTTCATAAACGAGTCCAATTATGTTATTTACTGGAAACATCATTTCCCAGGAAGTGTATCAAAATACAGATCAATAACTATTTCATTAAAAAAAAAATTTCAAAATTTCAATAATATACAGGATAATATGTATAAACTTATAGGTATCATTTGTCTGCAAAACATTAAAAATAATTTTAATTATATTAAACTTTTGTATAATCTAACAAAATATTAAAAAATGATAGAAAAAGTTTCTTGATTTTAGTGTTTTTTCATTTTCTCTAAAATAACAATAAAAAAAAGGGTCAGTAAGCTCCATAAATGCAATTATTAGTTACAATAAATGTGTTTATTCACAAGGAAGATTTTAATAAGCATAGAAATATACAAAATTTCTCATTGTATACATTTGCAATTATTTTTTAACCAGTATAATAATCAGAAAAAAAATCAATTCATCTCATATGATCTATTAATAAAAAAAAATGTATCAAAATCACTTAATAATAATCACAGATTATTATTATTGTTATTATTTAATCAAAAATGTATCCAAAACTTAAAAAAATAGAATAGTTAGAAAATAAATTAAGATACAATAATTATCAATCTATAGTACTTAATTGGAATGTACTGTATAATTTATATTATCATTTTCATAACAAAAATTCTTAAAAATAATTTATTCAAGTTTTCTAAAATTATTTACAGTTCAAAATTAAAATGTTTATTTCAAATATTTCTGATGTGCTATTTGTTATTCAGTTTGTACTGTAAACAAACTGCTGTCAATTTGGTATTTCAAGAAACCAAGTTTTTACATAATTTACATAATTAGTCATAATCTATAATATCCTTAATGTTTTTCTGATATATTACAAATAATACAGAAGAATTTTCTACTTGAAATTATTGAATTAATTGTCAGATGTAATAAATTTTCTGTATATATTTTCTATCTCATCAACTAGTAATCAAGTTTTAATGCATGTTTTCATTATATTACATTGTATAATAAAAAAAAATGAAAATTATATATATTGTAAACTAAAATGAACCTACTGACCCCTTAACTTAAAGCTGTTTTGTAAATTTTTAAAACATTATCAAAATAGTTCTTCATATCAATTTAATAAATTTTCTTATATTTCATTTAATTTACTTTTACAAAATATAAATAATTGTACAAAATTTAAATTTGTGTGTATATTACAACTAAATATATATATAATACTGCTATACA